AAGGAAGGTTTGCTAGGTTGATTAGATGATGAGATGTTCATAAGTAGGGGTCTGTGGTCAGACCTAGCTATGTTGAGGTGTATAATAGAATTATGTATGGAGGTTTGTCTCCAAGTGTTATTTGCAAGTATTCTGTCCAATCTTTCCCAGAGTTTACCTCTTCTCCAAGTGAAATCAAGGCCATGATAGCCCAAATCAAATAATCCAGAGGCCTGAATGTTATCATTAAAAGTTGTCATGCTCGCAGTGTTTGGGGGTCTTCTGCAGTTCTTTTTAGCAGGAGAGGCAAGAAAACTAAAGTCCCCCTACCAACCGAGGATTGTCAGTATTTGTATTGTTTTTCAGTAATACATTCTAAAGTTACTTTCTAGCAGCTTTAGTGCATCCTGCATAAACAAAAGTTGCATATCCAGCCATGTCATTCATATTGAAAGAGAGATGGAGGAACTGGAGGTGATTTAGTTGGATGTTGCAATCCAACTTAGTTCTGCAAAAAATCTAAATCTTATTATTAATGTTGGTAACAATAGTAAAACCAAGGAAGGATTTAAAATAGTTTTGGGGATTTGAATGAACCAAAGGTTCAAAAAGGGCTAAGCACCAGAACTTGTGTTTCATATTTAGGTATTTCAGCCTTTTGAAAGAAAGGTGGTGGGTTATCCCCCTTATGTTCCAACTTTAAAGGTTAAACATGTTGAAGGGATTTTGATCTCCCTCTAGTTACTCTAGGGGGGACATCCTTCTATGAGAGTAAGAGCTTCCAGCCTCTTGACTGTGGGAGACCTCAAAATTTGTCTAGGGGGTTTTATTCTTCCTCTTTCCATTTTGCACTTGCCACTTATTCTCCGGATTACTGACCATCCCTTTTATTCTGCGGGTATGTTTTTCTCAGCCTCCTGAGTTATACTGGGGGTATTTTCCTCCTCAATAGGGGTAGAGTTTTGTAACTATATATTGTTCTCTCCAGCATTAGGCACTAATTCTGTCTATTGCCCTCTTCTCTCAAAACATCTGCAGTGTCTAATTCCTCAGGCTGAGCTAACTCCTTTTGTCCTCCCTCTAAATTTTGCCCTTTTTTGGCTTTCGTATCCCCACAAGGTTCTCCATAGTAGTCAATACTGTAGAAGTAGCCTTTCCCAGGAGAAGTGGGGGGGGGGGGGGAACCTTGACAGTAAATGACTTTTGTGTATCAATTTTCAGTTGGGGTGGGGGGTTCCTTCAGTAGTGGGTCTTGGCATCTGTTCAGTTATAAGATTTTATTCCTTAGTGTTATTATTAAAATTCTTTCTGGGAGGGAGTTAAGCCTATAGCATCTTTCCAAAGTGTGGCTAAAAATTTTACAATATTTGCAATAATATGTTTTTTTTTTCAGCAACAGTTTCCTACCAAAAGCCCTTAGTTTCAGAACATATCGAGATCCTCTTCAGCCCTTGGAGTGTGACATATTTTTCCACTTGGATTCTAGCTAGAGTAGTTATTGCTTTGTTGTAACAAGGGTATCCACCTTAAGAGGTGTTCCTAATGCCCTGCCAATGTTGAATAGGGCATTAAGATAGAAGAAATGAAGGGGAAGGCTTGACAACTTATACCATATGGGTACCACAGGGGGTTTCTTACTTGGATCAAAGTCTGAAGTCCATTTTTGAATTTTCATGCCATTCTCTACAATCACTAAGGAATTCTTGGCAAAGAGCCTGACATAATCGTATTCCGAAGAAAGTTGAATTAGTAGGTGTATTCCATCAAGCAATCTAATTCTCCAAGCCCCAATAAAATTGAGGGAATCAAAGAAGCTTCTGACAAGTTTCATTTTGGCATATCCCAATTAGAATTTTCCTACTAATGTGAACTTTACTTCTTTCTTTAATGAAATCAAATCCTGACTAGAAAAGTATACTGCAGTTTCACCATCTTTAGAGCCAAGTGGGTTAATGCAAGAGGAAGAACTCTTGCCAACGTCTGCATTATAGAATGCTTGGGGAAATACTAATTTATCAGGGCCTTGTAAAGTGTCAGTGGCTTTACCCACTACACCAGCATAAGTGGCCTTGGTCCTTTAAGCATTAGTATTCACATAAATGGGTGTGGCCATAAAAAAATAGAATGCCTGCCCTAGTAGGCCCCAAACTAGTTAATGTTCAGTCTGCCCTACCCAGCAAGCTTTGAGACAAACTGAAACACAACAGGTGGAAGCAACCAAATACAGTTACCAAGGGTGGTCATCAGTCCCTTTTAGTGACCAAGAAAGAGCTTCAAACTAGCTTCAATGGAACAGTACCACTTTAAAAAGATCATGCTTAGGAAAACAACAAGACTAAATCTCCCCCAAAAAGTACCAGAAGGCAAACCAAGGAGATGGAATAAACAACACCACAAGTGATTGAAATAAACAACAAGGACTTCAGCTCCAATGGAACAGTAACCCTTCCAAAGCACCAAACTTGGGAGAGCTCAAATAGTGAGAAGCTCCACCAGAAAGATGACCAAGTAGAGGGGAGGACCCAGTAGACCACTACTTTAGCTCCACCCACCAGTCAGTGCCAGCAAGTCTTCATCCAACCAGAAAACCTAGCAGAGCTCCTCCTTCAGGCTCCATATACATATATATATATATATATATATATAAGATGGAGGTGGCGGCTGGCTTGGTGGTTGCTCTGCTAGGGTTTCTAAGGACTGTCTAAGGTTGGTGGGGATCTTCATCCCTTCTCTACTAATTGTTTTCCCTCTTCTTGTGTTTTTCCTTTATCCTTGGAAGCTTCTTCTCTGGTTTTTCTGCTTTTTGGTTTTTTTTGCTCTTTCAAGTGGTTTTCGTGGTTCTGTTCCATGAATGTGGAGTGATGATGGCTGAACAGAGCAATGTGGATTTGACCACTAATATTAACGGGCAAAGGCTACTTTTGCTGATGTTGTTGGAAAAGGCTTTGAACCTATTAAATTTTTTATGATTTGGCTTTCCCTCAAAGCTACCATGAGGTGCTGATGCATTCATTAAACCTCTGAGTAGGAAGAGTGGTAAATTGGCCATATTTTATAATGAGGAGGATATGCAAAGCCTGACTGAAAATTGTAAATTTACTCCTATAGGAAAATTTCAAGGAAGTTATTTGGTGGAATTAAACTTAAAGGATCTTAGAGAGTTGGCCTTATTGATCGTAGAGAAATTCTTATCCATTTAATAAGAGAAGAAGATTATGTCAGAATCTTCTCTAAGCAGATTTTACAGATTGAGGGCAACACAATGAAGATTTTAAAGTGGTCTACTAATTTTGATCATAGAAAGGAACTCTCTATAGTTCCTATATGGTTCAAACTTCCAGGATTAAAACTTCATTTTTTCAACCATAAAGTGTTGTTTAGTTTTGGACAGGCTTTAGGTAAATCCCTCAAATTGGATGTTCCAACATTCAATTTATCTAGACCATCAGTAGCCAGAATCCTAGTTGAATGGGACCTAACTCTCCCAGCAGTTGATGAAATATGGTTGCGTACTGAACATAATGGGTATTAGCAGAAAATCATTACTGAACAGAAGCCTTATTATTGCATCCACTGTTGTATGTTTGGGCACACTGATAACAAATGTTTTAAACTACACCCTCATCTCAAGAACACTAATCATGGGGTCCCAAAAGATGTTGTTCTGCTTATGGAACCTTTGGTGGTGCTTGAGAGGGAAAGGGCAATTTCTGATGAGAGCCCTGATCAAATCATTTTTGGGTACAATGCCAAAGGTCCTGAAGAAATTTATCAGTCCACCAATGCTGCTTTGTCATTGAGACTAAAAATGCAGAAAATAATATAGCCAATGCTAGTACTAACCATCTTCTAATTGCAATGACTGATAATTTATCCAAGGATGAAGCTGGCCCCTTAGAAATTCATCATGAACCATTTGTTGAATAGATCACAGCTAGTGATGCTGCTGCCCGTGAACCTTTTGTTTCAGAGCCCCAGAGTTCTCAGCTAGATGTTGGTGAGGCTATTCATAAAGATTATCAAGTGGACTCCACATTAGTTGAAGTTTTACAGATTGCTTTTTTTGATGAATGGCAAACCCAAAAAATAAGAAAAAAGAAAAAGGGCAACCAAAAGTTAAACAGTGTGAAGGGAGGAACATACTCACTCAGAGACAAAAACAATTATATAGAAACCAAGGAGGCCATGGCTAGTTCTAGAAGGAGGGGTAAATCCATCTCCTTTGGATGATGAACCTTTTGTATTGGAATGGTAGGGGATTGGCACATCCTAAATCCCTTGACATACTTATTTCTTTGAATAGGATGTATAAGTTTTGGTTTGTTGTTGTATTGGAGCCTATGGTGTCCAATTATCCCCATAAAACCCTTAGAAAATTCTCTGGCTTCTCTCATTTTGCTAATCTGAATAATAAAATTTGGGTACTCCATAGAAAGGAAGTAATGTGCCAAATTTTGTGGAATCGTCCACAATTCCTTCACATCAAATTTAACTTTCGCGATTAGAAAGGTCTAACTACATTTGTTTATGCTGGAAGCTCCTCAAGAGCCAAAGTGGAGCTGTGGGAGTGCATTCATACTATCAACAGATCCTGTAATTCTTTATGGCTGGTGGGTGGGGATTTCAACTCCATTTCTGCCTCCTCTGAAAAATTAGGTGGCAACCCACCTGATTCCAAATCTATGAACAACTTTAATGATAATATTATCTTGGCTGGATTATTTGATCTTGGCTTCACTGGGCCTAAGTTTACTTGGAGGAGAGGACCTTTATGGGAAAGATTGGATAGAATCCTTGTTAACACTCTTTAGCTGAATGAATTTTTACATACATCTGTCCAACAGCTTAGCCTGGTAGGTTCTGACCATAAGCCCTTACTTATCACTATTTCTGCATCTCCAATCAAGCACAAATCTAGCTTTAGATATTTCAACATGTGGTCTTCTCACAATGATTTTCTTAATCAAATCTCTTTGGGGTGGAGTGATTGTCACCACTCTAATCCTTTAATTAAGCTATGGATGTTGCAAAAAAAGATTGGCAAAAAATTGTCTAATTGGAACTGGACTGTGGTGGGGGATATTAACTTGAGAGTAAAGGAGGCTGAAAAGGAAGTGAATGATATGGAGACTAGGCTTGAGAACAATCTTGATACTGAGAAGCATTTATTGTTGGCTAATGAAAAGCTGATGAATGTTATTTGTATGTTGGAGGAATTCTATGCTCAAAAGGCTGTTAAGATCATATTTTGTGATAGGGATAGAAACACAAAGTACTTTCATGTTTGCATCAACTATAGGAGGAAATGCAACACCATTCATAAGATTAGAGATCCCTCTGGGCACTGGATTCAATCTAAAGACTTAATTGTAGCTAGTGCTATTCAATATTTTCAAACTCTATTCACTCAACCTCCAGTCACCAGACTTCCAATTCAACAAGATCTATTTGATCATAGTTACACAAGAAACCTGGACTTGGCATCTATGCCTGGGGAATTGGAAATTTGGTCAGCTCTGAACTCAATTGACAGCTCCAAAGTTGCAGGCCCAGATGGATTCTCAGCAGATTTCTACAAGAAAGCTTTGAAGATCATTAAAGGGGATATTATTGAGGCATTACAAAGCTTTTTCAAAGGGATGGATTTGCCTAACTGATTTAAATGCTCTACCATTACCTTTATTCCGAAAAACAGTTCCAAGCTCTTTTGGGACCACTTCAGGCCTATTAGTCTCACTAATGTACTGTCCAAAATTATTAGCAAGGTTATTTCCAATAGATTGCAACTTCCAATAGATTATTTCCAATAGATTGCAACCTCATTTACCTCATCTTATCAGTGAAAACCAATCAGCTTTTGCGCAAGGGAGAAGTATAATGGAGAATGTTCTCTTGGCTCAAGAATTAGTCTTGGATTTTGACAAACAGTGTAGAGGAGGGAATCTTATTTTCAAACTTGACATCCAAAAGGCCTATGATACCATACATTGGAATTTCATTGAGGAGGTTTATTTCCTTGATCCTGAGGTGGCTTATTAATAATTATCATTCCATTTTCATTAATGGGAAGTCTCATGGCTTCTTCACAGCTTCTAGAGGCATCAAGCAAGGTGACCCTTTATCCCCTACTATCTTCATACTTGCTTTTGATTACTTATCTGGACTGTTGAATCAATTAATTGCCAAGGCTCCTCACTCTTTATATAGCCATAGATCTATCATTGTTGTTAACCATGTAGCCTTTGCTGATGATGTTATTATATTTTCCAAAGCTACTAAACCTACAATTAAATTGCTTTTCCAATGTCTGGAGAATTTTCAAGATTGCTCTGGAATGAAATTTCAGAAATTTCTTCATATACAGAAATGCCAAGCAGTTTTCAGTAAAAGGGTGAAACCAGAAATCAATCATTGGATTTCAGATCTTACTGGCTTTTGCTTTAGTTCTCTTCCTCTAAAATAGTTGGGTACCTTATTGCTCAAAGGGAGGACAAGGCAACTCCAATTTGATGATATTATACTTAAAGTCCAAGATAAATTCAATAGCTGGTCTAACTCTTTCATCTCTAATGGGGGAAGAATTACACTCCTCAAAAGTATTATGGTAGGCCAGAGAAAGCAAGTGCACTAGGTGAGATGGCAAAAAGTTTGTGGCAGTGCTAGAGCTGGAGGTCTGGGGTTTAAAAGTTTCGAGCAGATTTTCCAAACCAACTTTTGCAAACTTTCAGTTATGTTTAAAGCACAAAATTCCATTTGGGCTACATTTTTGAAAGGAAAGTACAACAAAGATCTGCATCCTTCTCTTGTGATTAATATATTGGGGGATTCAAGAACTTTGAAGAATATGTTGAAGATGAGAACTAAGCCTGAACAGCGTTTCATTTGGGATATAGGGCAAGGAAGACTCAATGTTTGGCTAGATAATTGGACTGGAGAAGCATTCTCCCTCCATTAACTGGCTCTCAATTCAACCCTACAACACTGGTGGTTGACCTTTGGTCTGATGGTAAATGGAACAAGCAAGCTCTTCAAAATATCCTTGATACTAGATTACTCAATATTGTTCTGAAGAAACCTATTGACAGATCCAAGAAGGACAAAATTATTGTGTAGAAGAAGGTCTCCTTGACTTTTTCAGCTTCCATAGCTAATTTCTGCTTTCCTCAACAGGAGGTTTCCTGGGCTAAATGTGTTCGGAACAAGTTCCATTCTCCTTCCATGGCCTTTTTATCTTGGAAGTTATTCTATGGTTTCATTCCCACAGATGATATTTTAAAACTAAAAGGCTTGAGAGACCCTTCAAGTTGCTGCCCGTGTAAAACTAATGAGGAATCCCTCCACCACTTGTTCTTCAAATTCTCTAATGTTCAGCAAGTATGGAACCTCTTGTTACCTAAATTGAAACTAAATACCATTCAGTTGTCCTGGTATGATTTTTATATAAGCTGGAAAGACTGGCAAGATCAATCTCTCCCTCTCATCCCTTGTATCATTGCTTGGTTTGTTTAGATGGCCAAAAATAAGCTGAAATTTGATGAAGCCAAGTGGATGCCACTGCCATTGCTACTAATTGCTACATATATTTATAGAAACTGTACTGTCATAGGAAACTTCTTGAAATACTATGTACAACCTCCCTCATCTGTTCAAGGAAACTTCAAACTATTCATGTCCATTGGAGCTGCCCTCCTAAGGGTTGGCTCAAAGTCAACACTCATGGAAGCTTCATTTCTCCTAATGCAGGGGTTGGTGGGTTTTTAGAAATGTTAGAGGGGAATGTCTACTATATTTTCAGTCTCCTGCTAGGGCTAAGGACCCTTTGGAAGCTAAAGCCCAAGCTATTTATTGGGCAGTGTATATGGCCAAAAAGTGTAGCTGGAATCAATTAATGGTGTAAACTGACTCCATGACTTTACTTTGAAGGGAAAATATCTACCCCTTGGTATCTGATGTATTAGATCACTGGCATACGCACCTTGAGCATGGAGATTAAGTTGTCCTTTTCTCATACATATAGGGAGGGTAACAGACCTGCTAGTTGGCTTGCTAAGGCTGGCCTCCACACTCAGAATCCCTTCATTGATACTTGTACCACTTCCCCTTTAGAATTATTATTGAAAGGAGATCTTGTTGATCTACCTTTCTTTAGAGTTCTTCCACTTTAACTTTTGGGAAGTGCCTTGTTTTTGCCTTCCTTTTTGTATCTTTTTAATTTTAATGAAATAGGAGCCTAGTCTCCTTTTATAAAAAAAAATATATATACATACATGTATATATATATATATATATATATATATATATATTACAATGGACTATGTACAAAGAGGATTTAAGCAATCCCTTTACTTTGATGTGATGATCGGAGTGTTTCAAAATTTTTAACCAAAAATATTTTTACAAGATATGGAAAGTTGAGAATAATCATTACTGATTGAGGATCTCACTTTCAGAATAAACGAATAGAAAAATTTATGGAAATATAATATTATAACTAGGATTGCAACGGATTATCCTCCTCGGACTAGTGGTCTAGTAGAAGTATCTAATCATAAAATTAAGATAATTTTGGAAAAAAACTATAAATCCTAATAAAATGTATGGTGTACTAGATTAGATACTGCATTATAGTCATATAGGACAGCGCATTATGGGCTTATATAATTGCTTAAAAGTCAGCTATAGGAATGTCCCCACTTAAATTAATTTTTTGGAAGACTTATCACTTACTAGTAGAGTTGGAGCATAAAGCTTATAGAGCTATTAAAGATTTTAATTTTAATTTAAAAGATGCTAGTGAGAAACGATTATTGTAACTTAATGAGCTTGAAGAGATTAGGAATGAATCATAAGATAATGCTAGAATATATAAGGAGAAAATGAAAGAATAACATGATCAGAAGATAATACTAAAAGAATTTGTGTCTGAACATGATTTTTTATTATACAATACAAGATTGAAATTGTTTTCTAGAAAACTGAAGTCTAGGTGGATAGGGTCATTCACAATTATAAAATTCTATCTCTATGGAGTCGTTAATATTGAAGATCCCAAGATTAGAAAGATATTTAAAGTGAATCAGCACAGAATAAAATCATATTTTGATGGTTAAAGACCAATTTTTAATGAGACTGTAATGTTGGGTCACCTAGAGTAAAGACTAGAAATGTCAGACTGACTATATTAAACCAAGCGCATTGCAGGAGGCAACCCATATTTATGTTTGTATTTGTTGTTTATCTGATTTTACAAGTAGTGTTATATATACACACACACACACACACACACATATATATA